AGAAAAAAAAAGGAAAAAAAAAAAAAAAAAAAAAAAAAAAAAAAAAATGGAGTGTATATAAAAAATGTGTACAGGGTAAAAATTAATTTAAAAATAGCAGAATGAACAAAACAAATATAACTTAAGAGAAACACCAAATATGAAATGAGACCCATGACCTGGCTGAGAAAATAGCCAAATATAACAGAACTGTAGAAGTATACAGCTATAAGTAGACAATGGAAGATGCATTCCACAGCCATTTCCTGTCCTTAGAAGGTTAACAACATCTACAGACCAGGAGCTTTATTCCACTGTCCAAAGGATACATTGTGCTATGATTCTTTTCACACCAACATAAAGTAAACTTGAATAAACTTCAACCATGTGACCACTGGAATGCATAAGAAATCAGCTGGACCACAACTCAGACTTGAGGACATGTGACACACAATAAAAGTGTCCATATTATGCTTTTCTGTGCAATTTTGTTTATTTATTTATTTTATTGTTGAACTCTCTATGTAGTCAAGGCTGGCTTTGACTCAATGGTCTTCCTGTCTCAACCTCTGGAATAAGAGATTTACAGGAATGTGCCAACATGTCTGGGTTTTTTCTGTGTGACTTCTATAGTACTCAATAAGGAAATTCTAATAGAGCAAACCTAAAAGAATATTGCATAGTAGTGACAAGTACATATTGTAATATTAGGTAAAGGTCCAACAGAAGTAGAGCTATGGTCATCTATAGGGAAGCAAAGATGAATCAAATTGGTTTTGACCTCGCTACTCTTTGCCACTGCCTAAAGCCCAGTTATAAACCTTTGCAAGGGTTTCCAGGATATTTCTGTTGTGATTACTGTTAAATCTCACCAAAAACACTTCTGAGAAAAAAAAATTCACTGTAAAATATTTACATAGAAAACTACCACGTGAAAAAGAAACTAACTTGGATATTAGAAAGTTATCAACCTTCTAACATGGCAATATGAAGGATAATTCACAGACTGGACAGCTATAAACAAGGTGATACAATTGCAAATATTAGACCTCCAAACACCCATGAAGCTGTGGTCTGAATGCATGCTGGCCATCCAAAGGGGAGCAGGTTAGAAAGTCAGAGAAGTAAAAGCTGGACATGAAAACTGATTGTTTAAACTTCCTACTTAAGGTGAACTTTTATGCTAAACTTTAGAGGAATGTCCTTCATGTTCACACTGGTAAAAGTTATGGCATAAAAATCTGAGAGGATATTCCAAAGATTATGACTCACATAACTAATGGCTCAGGCAAAGCAGAGTAGCCTCTCAACCAGGTACCAAGTGTCTTGAGAGTTAAGGAGGTTGGACTGAGAGGTTATTGAGCAGTGGAGAGGTTATTTGGGCAGTGGACCGAGAGGTTACTGAGGTTAACAGGCAACTCAGGCTGAGAATTCACTTCCACAAGCAGAGCTTTAAATCTCAAAGTATTTGCCAGAATCAAAACTGTAAAACCTAGGCTTCTGATCACATTATCTTCATTTGGGACACGAATGGGAGGTGTGAAGAGGGTTAAGTATTGTAACTAAAAATCAAACAATGAATGCACACACTTCATTTTCTAGGTTAGCTGTAAGGATGCAGAAGAGAAGGTTCCTTCTAAGTAACAAAAAAGCAAACTAAAATCCAAATCTTTCAAGACCAAAGCAAGCCATTGTATTCAATGTGAAAATAACACTCATACAGAACAGTTGTATGATTGAATCAGTTGATGCTGTTATAACCAGGAGTAATTCTTTCAGCAAAATATAGGGAGAGTCCAAATAACTTAAAAGTAAATACTTTTACTTTTTAAGGGGTAAATACTTGCACTGGACATAAAAAAGGTGAAAATTATTAATGGGGAGGTGACATCCTAATAAAAATCTCCATATAAACCACACTCTCATTTATCTAGTTCTCAGGCTGGGGATTTAGGTCAGTGGTTCTGCCATCTGCCTCGCAAGCGCAAGGACCCGAGTTTGATCCCCAGTACTCCCCCCAAAAAAATAATAATAATACCCTTCTTCATTTATCTAGTTCTCAACCTGAAGCACCCCCCAAAAAAAGGAGGGGAAAAAGATATACCCACATATAGATACAGATACAGATATAGATACGATAATACACGTGTGCAAGGAAAAGCAAGGCAACAGAAGATACCCAAGTTCATCCAGTTCTCCCAAGGCAAAGCAAGGGGTCACAAATGGAAAAGAAAACAATTACCAGGTAGCAGAAATCTACAAAAGGTTCATAGGGCCAGGGATTTAGCTCAGTGGCACCACACCTGCCTTGCAAGTGTAAGGTCTTGAGTTCCATCCCTAGTACCACAAAAAGGGGGGTGGTTCACAGACAGGATGATAGAAAGAAAATAGATGACCTCAAAGAGGAAATGAACAAAGAGTTCATAGCAATTCCAGTCAATATGACCATGGTGAATTTTAGCGAAATAGGTTTAAAAAAAAAAAAACAGTAAGTTAACCAAAACAACTCAAAATTTTAATGAGATTCAACACAGATATGAAATCCTTGAAAAAACACCAGATAGAAGTACCTGATATTGAAAAAAAACTATAAAATTTACAAATTACAGAAATGACCAATATAAAGACAGAGTATCTGACATTAAGGATAAAATAGTGAATTACAATGAAGAGCTCAAAGAAGCCAAAAAGAAAATAACAGAACAAGAGGATTATCCAACAACTACTAGATGACAATAAGAAGACCAATCTGAGGCTAACTGGAATTAGAGAAAAAGTAGGAGATAGCACAGATGGACTTACCAACATGTTTACAGAAATCAAAGAAGAAAATTTCCCTAATATAAGAAAAGTGATGCTTACAGAATACCAAACAATTATGATGACAGAAGAAGCTCACCGAGGTGTATCCTTAACTATTGCCAGATATCCAGAAAAAAAATTAAAAGCAGCCAGAGAAAAACAAAAAAAAGCACATATAAAGGTAAGCCAATTAGAATCACAGCAGACTTAACACAAACCCTAAAAGCCAGGAAAGCTTGGAGTTTAGTCTTGAAAGACCTAAAAGCAAATAACTTCCAACCCAGATTAACTTATCCAGCAAAGATATCCTTCAAAATACAAAGAGAAATAAGGTATTTCCATGAAAATGTCCAGCTCAAAAGGTGAGTACTAAACCTGCTCTTGAGAAAATACAGAAATCATGAAATGAACACACCTAAAAACACAGAGAAAATTAGTGAGGGCAATGGACAAATAGCAATAAAAACAGGAAAAGAAATACAGAGGATTCACCAACTGAAAAGAAGGCCCGACAGTAAATAACCAACACATCTCAGTAATATCTCTCAAGTTAATAGCCTCAACTCTCCCAATAAAAGACACAGACTGGCCAACTGGATCAAAAACAAAGACTCCAACAGTATGTTACATTCAAGAAACTCAACTAATAAAAAAAGATACTCAGAAAAAAAAAAGATACTCAGTTTAAAAATTAAATGATGGAAAACAACATTTAATGCACCAGGACCCTGAAAATAAACTGGGGTAGCAATTCTAACATCAGACATAGTAAATTTCAAGCTAAAAGAGTAGAAAAGACAAAGGTCACTACATACTAATTATCAGAACAATCTGACAAGTGATAAATTTGACAAAAACTTATGGGCCAAATACAAGAGCACTTATCTTCATAAAACAAAAACTACTGAATTTAAAA